AAACTCCTGACCTCAAGTGATCTCTGCCTTGGCCTCCCAAAGGGCTGGGATTACAGGCATAAGCCACTGTGCCCAGCCAGAATTGGTATCAATTCTTTGAGTATCTGGCAGAATTCAGCTGTGTCTCCATCTGGCTGTGGGCATTTTAAAATTGGCAGTTTTATTTTACTTTTTTAAAATTACTGAATCAATCTCACTGCTTGTTCTTGATGTGTTCAGAATTTCTATTTCTTCTTGATTCAAGCTTGAAGGGTTGTATGCTTCCAGGAAAGTATCTAATCCTTCTAGATTTTCTAGTTTGTATGCATAACAGGTTTCCAAAGTAGTCTCGAATGATGTTTTGTATTTGTATGGTAGCAGCTGTAATGTCTCCATTTTTATTTCTAATTGAGATTATCTGAATCTTCTCTGTTCTTTTCTTGGTTCATCTAGCGAGTAGTTTATCAATTTTGCTTATCTTTTCAAAGAACCAGTTTTTTGTTTCATTGATATTTTGTATTTTTTTGTTTCAATTTCATTTAATTATGCTCTGATCTCTGTTATTTTTCTTCTGCTAGCTTTGGGTTTGATTTGTTCTTGTTTCTCTAGTTCCTTGAGGTGTGATATTAGGTTGTCAATTTATAATATTTCAAATTTTTTGATGTAGGTGTTTAGCACTATACATTTCCTCTTAGCACTGCTTTTGCTGTATCCCAGGAGTTTTGAAAACTTGTTTCACTGTTATCATTCACTGCAAAAAATTTTTAAATTTCCATCTTTATTTCATTGTTAACCCAGACATCATTCAAGAGCAGATTGTTAATTTCTATGTCTATGTAGAGTTATGACGGTTCTTTTTAGAATTGAGTTCTAGTTTTATTCTGCTGTGATCTGAGAAGATACCTGATATAATTCCGATTTTTAAAAAAGTATTGAGGCCGATCATGTGATCTACCTTGGAGAATGTTGTGTGTGCTGATGAGAATCATGTTTATTCTGCGGTTCCTGGGTGGAATGTTCTATAAATATGTTAGATCTATTTGTTCTACAGTGTAGTTTAACTCCACTGTTTCTTTGTTGACTTTCTGCCTCAATGATTTGTCTGTCACCAGTGGAGTGTTGAAGTCCCAAACTATTTTTGTGTTGCTGTCTGTCTCTTTTCTTAGGTCTAGCAGTAATCGCTTTACAAACATGGAAGCTCCAAAGTTAGGTGCATATATGCTTAGGACTGTAACATTTTCTTGTTGAATTATATAATGACCTTCTTTGTCTTTTTTTTTTTTTTTTACTGCTGTTGCTTTTATAGTTTGTTTTATCTGATATAATGGCTACTTCTGCTTGCTTTTGATTTCACCTTGTGTGAAATATCTTCTTCCATCCCTTTACCTTGAGTCTGTAAGAATCTTTGTATTATGTGTGTCTTCTAAAGACAGCAGATACTTGGTTTGCAATTTTTTATCCATTCTGCCAATCTGTATCTTTTAAACAGATCATCATATTGTTACCTAGTGACTGTTTTCTTCACTGTATTATTGTTATATGAAATCCTTGTGAAATTTATGCCTTTAGAAATTTCTATTCTGATGTGTATCAATTTTTTGTTTCAAGATTTAGAATTCCTTTTAGCATCTCTTGTAGGGCTAGTCTCGTATGGACAAATTCCCTTGGCATTTGCTTGTCTGAGAAAGACTTTATTTCTCCGTCATTTATGAAACTTAGTTTTGCTGGATGTTATTCTGTTTAATGAGACTAAAGATAAGACCCCAATCCCTTCTGGCTTGTAAGGTTTCTGCTGAGAAGTCTGCTGTTAGTCTGTTTTCCTTTACAGGTTACCTGACACTTTTGTCTAACTGCTCTAGGAATTCTTTCCTTCATGCAGACTTTAGATAGCCTGATGACTATATGCCCTGGTGATGTCCTTTTTGCAATGAGCTTCCCAGGAGTTATTTAAGCTTCTTGTATTTGGATGTCTAAATCTCTAACAAGGCCAGGGAGTTTTCCTTAATTATTCCCTTAAATAAGTTTTCTTTTCTTTTTCTTTCTTTTTTTTTTTTTTTTTTGCTTTTTATTCTCTCAGTAACACCTATAATTGTTAAGTTTGGCCATTTTATATAATTCCCTATTTCTGGATAACTTTGCTCATTTCTTTTAATTATTTTGTCTTAAATTTTATCTGACTGGGCTAATTCAAAAGCCTTGTCTTTGAGCTCTGAAATTCTTTTTCCTATTTGGTCTAATCTATTGTTAAAGCTTGCCACTGCATGTTGTAGTTCCCTAAATATGTCTTTCACTTTCAGAAGTTCTGGTTGGTTTTTCTTTAAAATATCAATTTAGAAAATGTTCATTCAGATCCTGAATTGCTTTTTAAATTTACGTTGGTTTTCACCTTTCTGTCCTTTTGTATCTCCTTGAGTAACTTAATAATCAATCTTTTGAATTCTTTATCTGGTACGGAGTAACTTAATAATCAACCTTTTGAATTCTTTATCTGGTATTTCAAAGATCTCATCTTAATTTGGATCCACTGCTGGAGAAGTGGTGTGATCTCCTGGAGGTGACTCTCCTTGTTTTTTCATATTGCCAGAATTAGTTTTCTGGTTCCTTCTCATGTGGGCAGACTATTTCTTCTAACTCTTTTTGAATTTATTTTTTATCATACTGGGTTCTTTTAAAAATTTCCTTTTCTCCACCTTGAGGATGTGACTTAAGTGTTTGTAGCTTACTGTTACTTAGCTTCAGCTCTGGGTGCTTTCAGTGGTGAAGACTCTGTATGAGTTCCTTGGTTAGGTAGAGTCTTTGTGTGATGGCTTTGCCAGACGCTGGTTGCAGGAGAAATGTGCTGGGTGTGTGATATGGTTTGGATTTGTGTCCCTGCCCAAATCTCATGTTGAACTGTAATCCCCAATGTTGGAAGAGGAGCCTGGCGGGAGGTGATTAGATCATGGGGGCAGATTTCCTCCTTGCTGTTCTTGTGATAGTGAGTTCTCATGAAAGTTGGTTGTTTCAAAGTGTGTAGCACTTCCCCTTCATTCTCTTCCTCCTGCTCCAGCCATATAGGATATGCCTGCTTCTCCTTCACCTTCCACTACAACTGTAAGTTTCCTCAGGCCTCCCATGCCATGCTTCCTGAACAGGCTGTGGAACCATGAGCCAATTAAGCCTCTTTTCTTTATAAATTACCCAGTCTCGGGTAGTATTTTTATAGCAATGCAAGAACAAACTAATACAGTGTGTGAGAAGGTTCACTGTCCCCTGTGGGGCTGGAATGGCAGAGGTCTCATGAAGCTTATCTTGTTCCCCAGTGGTGTGCACTTTTTAAATTTTTTTTCCCCAGCATTTTATTCACTGGGTTGAACAGTTCAGGCTTCATGCCAGTAGGAGGCACCCATAGGTAAAAACTGGCTGCAGCAAAGGCAGGTGGGTAAATGCAATACTGCAATGTGGTGGGCAGAGGTCCCAGCCTTGACAGAAGTGGCTGGGGAAGCTCTCAGTGAAATGCACTGAGGTCTTCTTTGGGGGTGAGGGGGCCACCACAACTCTTCCAAGTCAGCAGGAAAGCAATCTGCCTCTCAATCACACTCTTGCCCCAGTGTTCCAGCTATTGAGATCACAAACAGGCGCATCTTTTCATCTGCAGGAATGCTGATGTTCCACATACAAAGGAGTTGTCACTCTACCTCTCATGCAAGCCTGAATCTGGAAGGCACTCCTCCTATGTGGATGTAGTCACCCTGAAATGTTCCAGAAATGTTGTCTAAAGAGGCACCCGCAATGAGCTCCCTATGAGAAGCTGTAGCTATGTTTGCAGTGGTGGGCAAGAGGGAGAAGTAATCTCCTTCTCCAACACCCTTCAGGAGCACCAGGACTGCCTGACTGTTGAGGTAGAGCTGCACTTTCTCTACCAAGCCAAGAAGCCAAGAAGTGCACTTGTGCCTCTGCTGAAAGAAACTTCCCACAAGTAGAAAATTCATGGATTCAAGTCCTGCAGTCTAGTTTCCTTTGTCCCAAGGGGTACTCCCTTAATGTGGCTCACTCACTCACTCCCTTCCCCTAGGAGCAGCAGTCCCTGAGGGCCATACTGTGAATCCTGCTGCTCCGCTGGGTCTAGTTGCCCAATGAAGCTGCCATGCTCCAGGCTGGTGCTGGGGAATGTCTGCAATAGATTCAGTGATATAACCTGTCCTCTAGTCTCCCAGTAGCAGGTACCAGCAGCAGCACCGATGGGGGTGGGAGGGAAGTGACGTAGATTGAGACTTCCTCGGTTATAAAGAGCCTTAGTATGTTGCCTTTCTCAAATGCCAGCAGTAGTAGTAATGTACTGGGTACATGAAAAGACTCAAGGCCTTCTAGTTAGCCAGGGTGATGCAGGCGATGGCAGTAGTTGAGGTCATGCCACGGTTTTCTCTTTCCTGAGTGTTGTGTTGTTGTGCTGCAGATGTTGTAATGGGCTGTGCCAGTTGTCCATCAGTCAGGAGGTAGCACTTGCAACCGCACCAGCTACAGTTCTTTGCCCATTTTAAAATTGGGTTGTTAGGGGGGTTTTTGTTGTTGTTGAGTTATACAAATCCTCTATATATTCTGGATATTTACTTCTTATCAAATATATAACTTGCGAATATTTTCTCCCATTCTACAGGCTGCCTTTTCACTCTGTTGTGTCCTTTGATGCACAGAAGTTTTTCATTTTGTAGTCCAATTTGTCTATTCTTACTTTTATTGCTTGTGCTTTGGTTTCATAACTAGGAAATCCTTGCCAAATCAGATGTCAGAAAACGTTTCCTCTGTTTTCTCCTAAGACTTTTATAGATTTGGGTCTACATTTAGGTCTTTAATTCATTCTGAGTTAATTTTTATATATGGTGTGAGGTAAGAGTCCAACATCATTCTTTTGCATGTGGATATCCAGTTTTTCCAGCACGATTTGTTGAAGAGATTATCCTTTCTCCATTTAATGGTCTTGGCATTTTTGAAATTCCTATTTTCCCTCCTGCCACTGCATTCTCACGCTATATCTAGATTACCTGTGGCTACTGAAGTTAAGTTTCTGTTCTTTACAAATAAAAGATATACACACACTAGTATTTGGACTCTAATCAGGAAGACTAAGATCCAGCTATCTAAATAATCACTACCTTTTCAAATTATGCTATTAAGTTCTCACTTCATTCCTCCTAAAAACAGCTGGTGATTCAACATGTATTTACTATACGCCTACTATTATGGGCAATGTGCATGAGATAAAACAGAAATATAAATCAGTTTTTAGCTTTCTAGAAACTTAAAGTGTTTTTGGCAGAAAAAAAATTATAATCAGTGTTGTGAGCACAAAAAGGGAAACAATGTTGTGAGCACTAAGATGAAAAACTTAACAGAGGTAACATTTAAGCTAAATCTTGTACGATAAGATTAGGAATATAGTAAAGGAGAGTTCCTCAATAGGAGGAATAAGAAGCAGAGTGGAAAAAGAGTCATATATTCTAGAAACTGCAAGTAAAGCAACTTGGCTAGAATGGTGATTGCTCACTCACACATTCATCAATTCAACTACTTTATCAAACTCTATAATGTGCTAGGTACAATTTCAGACGTATAGTATATTTTGTGATGTTCTGTGAAGAACAAAACAGACAAAGCTCCCTGCTCTCATAGAGCTTACATTCTAGTTGGGAAAAACAAACAAATATATATGTCATATAGTCATAAATGTCCATGGTCATATATGTGTATATGTGTTCACACTTGTGCTGTTTTAGATATAGTGGTCAGGGAAAACCTCAGAAAAGGTATATTTTTGTGAGACCTGAATAAAGTGAGGCAGTAAGTCGTAAAGACAGTTACAACACTGCAGGCAGAGAGAATAGTAAGTACAAATACCAGGAGGTGGTATCATGCTCAGCTTTTCAAGGAATGGCAAGAAGGTCATGTGGCTTGAGGGAAGACAGCAAGGGGGAGAAAGGTAGGAAATGGCAGAGAGGCGACCAGTGGCAAGAACATGTGTGACTTCAAAGATTATCACGAGCACTCTGGATTTTATTCTGAGTAAGATGAAAATCTACCTGAAAGTTTTGAACAGTGGGGTAAAACAATCTGACTCAGGTTTTTAAAGTACTGTTCTTTTGCTGCTGTGCTGAATTAAACAATAATCATGCACAGGCAGAAGGAGAACAATTAGGAGTCTACTGGAATAGTCTAGGCAAGAGATGATAGTAGCTTGGAGTAGGGGAACAGTAGCTGAGGATGTAGAGAAGTGGTCAGATTACAGGTATATTCTGAAGGTAAAGACAACACGAATTCCTTACAGACAGATGTGAGATAAGGAAAAATGAGAAGTCAGGGATAACTCTCAAGAGTTTCGGCCTGAATAGCTGGAAAGATGGAATTGCCATTGGACAAGATTGGGGGAGGAGCACAATGTAGGGGAAATATCAAGAGTTTAGTTTAGGACATATCAAAGTTTACAAGCCTATTATATGCAAGTGAAGAAGGTAAGTAGGTTATTGGATTTATGAGCCTGAAGTCCACACAAAAGCTTGAAGCTGGGAATAAGAAATTTAGAAGACATCAGTGTGTAAATACACTTAAATCTCTGACTGGATGAGATCACCTAGAACAGGACTTGACAACTTTTTTCTACGAAGGGTCATATAGTAAATATCTAAAGCTCTGTGGGCCATAAGGTCTCTGTTGCAACTACTCAGTTTTGCTGTTGCAGTCCCAAAGCAACCACTGACAGTATGCAAATGAATGAGCACGGATTTGGCCTGACTCGTGCCCTAGAAAATCTAGAGATTTAAAAAAAAAAGAATCTAAAGACTGCACTCTGGGATATCCCCAAATCTGAGATACAGGGAAATGAAGAGGCACTAGCAGAAAAAACTCATAAAGAATGGCTTGTAAGGTAGAACGAGAATCATAACAGATGGCTTCTGAGGACAGGTAAAAAGAACAAAGGTTCCTGCTTCTAAGACTGATGACAAAGACCCTACTGAACCTCCCCACACCTGCAAGAATGCAACTACAAAAGTGAACACAATTTAAAAAGAAATCACCTGAAAGTATTCGAAAGTAAACAGAAACTCTGGTGGGGAGGTCATGCTTACTTGCAGGACGGAAACAGGGAGCTATGCAAGTAACTTTCCGTCTCCTAGGCTTTTAGCTTTGAGCTAAGTTCTATCTATGCTGTGCATCCAGCAGTGGCCAGGGCACCCAGGGGAAAGTTGTAGTCCTTTTAAGCTGGGAAAAAGTTAAGTTGAGGAAAAATGACAGGAATAGGAAACCTTCAAAAGGAAAGATCCAGAAAGGAGATCCCAGAATGTGCCTACCCACATCTCTGACTAACCCTTAATACACTTGAGCAAAAGGAGCTCACTTATAGACAAAATATCTCAATTGAGAACAGAGCTGCCATCAAGAAACAGCTTGAAATGCAAGCCCAGCCAAGAAAATTACTTTCTAAAACAAAGGAAACAATACTCATTGGAGAAAATCAACAGAATCTGGACAGTATCTAGACAGAATCTCCACATCCCAATGTGCACAATGTTCAAAATACAATCCAAAAGTACTAAGACATACAATGAAGCAAGAAAACAAAACATTCCAAGGGGGAAAAAATCCATCTAAAAGACTCTGAGACAAACCGATGTTGCAACTAGCAGACAAGGATTTTAAAGAAGCTATTATAACTAGTCTCAAGTAAAATATTTTCAATGAATAAAAATCTTGGCAAAAAAATGGAAAATCTCAGAACAGGAATATAACCATTAAAAATAAGCCAAATGAAAATTATAGAAAAAGCATAATTTTTAAAAAATCACTGCTTAGAATTAGCATCCAGATGGAGATGACAGAGGAAAGAGTAAATGAACCTAAACTAAATCAAAACAAATTAGCCAAGCTGAAGAACAGAGAGAAAAGACGACTGAGGAAAAAAGAGCTTTAGTGGCCTGTGAGATATTATGTGATCCAACATAAGTGTAGATGAAACACAAGAAAGGAGAAATGGAACAGAGAAAATGTTTGAAGATCTAATGGCCAAAAAGTTCCCAAATTTGATGAAAGACAAAAATTTGCAGACACAAGATGCTCAATGAACACAATGCAGAATAAACACAAAGAATTCCATGCTAAGGCACATCAAAATAAAACTATTTAAAGCCAAAGATAAAGAGCTAACCTTGAAAACAGAAAGGCAAAAACAAGTATTACTATCCTGGAACAACAATCCAATTAATAGCTGACTTCTTATTGTATTTACAAAAGCCAGAAGAGACTGCAACCTTTTTATCTTACTTTTACCTACTCTTTTACCTTTACCTTACCTTATCTTACTTTATTGTTTGAGACAGGGTCTCAGTCTGTTGCCCTTGGCTAGCAGTGTGACAGGGTGATTACGAATCACTGCAGCCTTGACCGTGCAAGCTCAGGCAATCCTCCCACCTCAGTGCACCACCATGCCTGGCTAACTTTTGTTTTTTAATTTTTTGTAGAGACAAGGGTGTCATTATATTGCCCAGGCTGGTCTCAAACTCCTAGATTCAAACGATCCTCCCACCTCAGCTTCCCAAAGTGCTGAGATTATAGGCATGAACCACTGCACCTGAGCTGAAACATTTTTAAAGTGACAAAAGACGGAAACTGGCTAGGAGTGGTGGCTCACATCTATAATCCCAGCACTTTGAGGCCTCAGATCGGTGGATCGCTTGAGCCCAGAAGTTCAAGACCAGCCTGGGCAATATGACAAAACCCTGTCTCTACAAAAAATACAAAAAACATTAGCTAGGCATGGTGGTGCACACCTGTGGTCTCAGCTATTTGGGACGCTAAGGTGGGAGGAACACCTGAGCCCAGGGAGGTCGAGGCTGCAGTGAGCCACGATCATGTCCCTGCACTTCAGCCTGGGTGACAGAGTGAAATGCTGTCTCAAACAAAACAAAACAAAACAAAAGAAAGAAGAAGAAAGAAGAAGAAGAAGAAAAGAAAACTGCCCACCCAGAATTCTATATCGAATAAAGGAGAAATAGATATTTTTGGACAAAACCAAAAGAATTCATCACTTGACTTACATTACAAGAAATACTAACGAAGTTCTTCAGGCTGAAGGGAAATGAAATCAGAGAGAAAGATGGATTTTCAGAGAAGGAGGAGGAAGAAGTGAAATGGTAAATAACTTAGTAAATACAAAAAACTCTATTTTTTTCCTTTTGCCCTTTCCTTTCAATTTATTTATAATCCACATAAATGCTTGAAGAAAATGTTATAAGATTATCTTCTGCGGCTTAATATGTATCAAGATATAATACATAAAATAACAATTATTATCAAAGAGCAGGGGAAAGGTAAGGAAAATATGGACCTAAAAGGTTGTAGGATTTCTGTATTTCAAGTGAGGCAGTGCATTATTACTTGTAAGTGGACTACAAAATTTCAGGATATATAATGTAATCCTTATGGCAACCACTAAAAGTATAATGCAAAGAAGTACAGCTAAAAAGTAATCAGAAAAATAAAAATGGAATTCGAATAAAAATATTCAAATAATCAACATTAAAAATATTCAGATTATCAAATAATAAATGAAAAGGAAGAGGAGAGGAAAAATGCAGAGGAGAGAAGTATAAAAACAAACAAAAAACTGAAAGGAATAAGAAAGCAAGAGGAGTCTGATCAATTTACAGTCATCCCTTGGTATCCGTGGGGGACTGGTTCCAGGACTCCCCAGCCCCCACTCCCCATCCCATGGATACAAAATTCTACAGATGCTCAGGGCCCTTATATAAAACGATGTAGTGTTTGGATATAACCTATGCATATCCTCCTGTACACTTTAAATCATCACTAGATTATTTGTAATGCCCAATTCAGTGTAAATGCTATATAAATAATTGTTGCACTGTATTCCTTTTTATTGTTTTTCCTCAATATTTTCAATCCAAGGTTGGTTGAATCCATGGATTAGAACTCATGGATAGGGAGGGCTGACAGTATTTTAAACAGCCTGGTGGGAGGCTAGACTGAAGGAAAGCAT